AAAATAAGCACAGCACCCTCTACCCTGCTTTTTTCAATTTCAGATTAACGGGAATAACTTGATTAAAGATTTTATTGTTATTTCCGCTAATCTGAAATTGAAAAAAGTAGGTAGCTTATTCTCCATATTTTACGGTACATACTTTAAAAAATAGAATGTGTACGTCACTTCTTAATAAATTAATTCTGAAACCCCCTACTTATTTGTATTTATATATTCAATATTGATATATTCCTATTTGGGGTTCAAGATTCTAGATCTTATAAATTTTAAACATGACTATGTGAAAGATATTTATCCAAAAATAGTTCTACTTGTAGTTTTATATGGTACTATTGAAGTTGAATGAAATAATCTAAATATTCTCAAAATCAGTTAGCAATATTTGGAAATTTGGGTTGTCATACATTTTCTATGGTCTCTCATACGTTGAAATCAAAAATTATGGGTTTAATTGGGTTGAAGACCTTTATTACACTTTGCGCATCTGGTTTGGCAAGTACTATTCATATTTCTATTGGTCAAGAACTCATTAGAAGTACTATGAGTAAATACTATTAAAATACTATATTAATTTTTTTTTTTTTTTTAGATGCGTTAACGAACGTAATATATATTTTGGTCACGTCAATTCAAATTTAAAGCATTGATACGTAATCTCAAAATGCAATTTCGAAATAAGATACTTTAAAGGTTTTTTAAAATATAAGTCATTTAAAAATATGAAACAATGATAGTTGTTCGTTATAATGAAGAATATCAATTATATTTTAAAATACAAGTGGGTTTTTGTCTTGAAAATTGAGTTACGGAATATAGTAAATCGGGATGTCCTATATTTGATTTTCAAGACAAAGACCCCAAGTGTTAGCTTAGAAGCGAAAACTGTCTTACAAAACATATAAATAGTCCTATTATTTATATGTGCTGTAGCTTGCTAATCCCTTTACCCTAAAAATTTTCTAACATTACACTTGACCGATATAATAGCGTAGTAAAAATACCGAAATCAATTTTATATCAAAATTTATAAAAGATGCCCGCGTTAAAAATTTTGGTTTGCAATCATAGAAAAGCCCGTAATATATTTACAGGATAATTACAGTATATAGATTACGATTCTGTAAAAAAACACAAATTCCAGTTCAAGTTGCTTCTGTATAGAAAATTGACGAAAGGTAAAACAGAGCATTCTCGCAACAGCAGTCATGGAAAAACTTGAAAGAATTACGGATGCATAAAAATTGTATAACTATCATAAAATGTTAAGTTTTTTTTTTTAACTATATTTTTTTTCGAAACTTAAAATTGTACCGTATATATTTATTTATATTATTAAACATTACATCGTTTTCACTATTACAGTTTACGACCATATTTACTATCTAAACTACTCTAAATATATCATTCCTTTTTCTCGTTTTTTTCTTCTGAAAGTACTTTTTTCTCTTTAACTTTTTTTTTCGTAACTTCTTTTGCTCGATTCTAATTAAAAAAAAAAAAAAAAAAAAATTAATTATCTGCAAGTTAAAAATAAACGGATTTTTATAGACGAGTTTAGCGAACACCTATTCAAAATAATGACTATAATGAGCTTTACTTAAGGAGATATCAGAAGCCGGAGAAGAACGTTCACAGTACCGGTAATTTTAAACTGTGGCCACGAAGAGCTTTCAATTCTCCCGCTCCGGTAATTATATATAGGGTGTTGTTATCCATGGATATGAGAAGAACGTTCACAGGTCTTCTTACTGTGGCCACGAAGAGCTTTCTAATTCTCAGTGATTTCTTACAGGATAACAACGATTTCAAAGGTGAACTTCTAAAGTTACATAACGGTCTGTAACGAGAGTACATAACCCGATTCCTCTTATGGAACCAGCAGGTGGTACTCTCACCGTAACCTCAAGCGAAAGAACTGCATTTGTTCTTCAACCAGTTTCACCCGTCCATGTGCCCTATACATAACATGACGATATCTCCAACAAAGTAAATTCGGCATAACGCATAGAGCTTATAACAGCTCTCCCATCTAAAAATAATCAAAAAATCCAACAATAAAATTAACTTGCTTTTAATTCTTTTTTAAAAACTATCCAGTAATGTCGTGAAAATGGGTTCCAGTGAGCGTATCGATCGATAGTGGTTTTGCCGTTCGTTGGAGTTCTTTAAATCCAGGTCTTTAAAAAATCGACGTCAAGTCCGCGGTGGTAAAAAAATATTTAATAGAAAAAGTTTTTTTATTAATTTAGGAATTTAGAACGTAGGTTATAATCAAAAAACTAACCGAAAGAGAACAAAAATGATAAGGGAAAAAGAGAAGGGAAAAGAGAAGGGAAAAAGAAAGTTTTTTTTTTTCGAAAAAAAAATTATTATCAGTTATATAAATACAGTAAGGGCTGTGACATTTATTACGTAATATTTTAGGGGTGGGAGTTGAGCATGTATTATTGCCCTAATACGTATCAAAACAAATGATGTCATAATTTTTTGCAGATCCGACCCACAGTTGCAATATTGGGCCAATCAGGATGCAAGATCAGGTGTAACGTGACGATCAAAACAACAATCGCTTTTTTTTTTTTTGAGAAATCGCACTAACAAAAAAAATTCCTTGCAAAATTTTAATATAATATTACCTACTAACTCTAACCTCAAACCCTAGAAGGTGACATGTAAATTTGTACGAATAATCCCAGCCAATCACAACTGTGGGGAGAAATTAGTAAATGTATCGATAGATCATAAATTAGCAATAGTTGAGAACGAATTTGAAATTATAGGGTGTTCTCAAGTAGCACACTCAATTAATTAGATAATGATCGTAATGGTGCTCAACCGTTATGTAAAATTTA